CCTCAGCCCCACAGTCGCCTTGGAAAAGGCGCGATGACCTCACCTCACTGCCCGGTCCTGCTGGGGACTCCCCTTGTCTCCCCAGAAGTGTGACAGCAGGTCTGTGGGGGTGCTGCCCGCACCCTGCGGCAGCCTGACCTCCGGGACTGCAAAGGGACAGGACAATAGGACGGAGTGTTACGGGGCGGGGAGAGGGGCACCCCAGAACCCCCAAACCTGCCCGCTCCAAATAGGTTCTGCCATCCACCACATCAGGACAAACATATAAGCCCTTCAGAGGAAAGGAACGTTAACGCAGTTGGTGCGCAACACGGAAAAGGGAAAAAATAGTTTCCAAATCAAGCCCCAGAGTCACCCGTCCCCTTGGGGCCAGCGCCCGGACAGGCAGGGCTGCCCACGCAGGGCCTCTGAGGCCCGAGAGCTGCCCCCGTCTGAGGCCCCTCCTGGTCGGGACCCACAGGACGGGGTTAGCAACAGCCGGACAAGCCCAGGCCTCCCCCGCGTTTGTTCCCAGCAGCCGGGACCGAGAAGCCAGCGCAGCTTCTGCCCGAGGGGCCGCGTCCCCGTCCTCAGCTCTGGCCAAGCCCGCTGTGCCACCGCGCCCGCCTTCACGCTGGCCTTCAGTGCTGACCCGCAGGCACGCAGCGGGGAGGACGCGGCCCTCGTGGCCCTGAGCAGGCCAGCCCTTGGCAGTGAGACGTCACTGCCGACCACAGCAGGGTCAGGGGCCCTGGGAGTGGCCGTTGCTCCTCAGAAGCCCGTCCAGCCCATGCCGTGCCGCTGCCCTGAGCTCTGAGACCTCCTGAGCCCGGGCGGGTCCATTCACAGCTCCTCCCACGGGCCTCACTCCTGCTCGGGGGCACGACTGGACGGGCCTGCCCTCCTCCCCTCTGGGGGACACTGCTGGGGTCTGCCCAGGGGAGGCTCGTGCGGCGGTCAGCACCCGCCCGCCCACTGACCGTCACGAGTGACACAGACTCTGTCCCCCCTGCACCGTGCGTCTCCTGAGTGTGTTTTGCTGCCCCCGGCCTGCCGGAGACGGGCAGCAGGCGACAAAACAAAGGGTAAAAAGGCCCCAAGCGGACATTAAAGACTAACCAGTTGGGCCCCGGCAGCTTCTCTGTGCCCAGACGCGGTGGACGGGCTGCGGGAGCAAGTGGACGCAGCGCCCAGCAGGGGCCGGGCCCGGGGGGCGGGGGTCTGTCTGTGAGGAGCCCGTGAGCAGAGGACGGCAGCGGGTGTGGGACGGCTGATGCCTCACAGGAGGGCGGGCTGGGGGACGCCTGAGGGGAGGGCGCGCTGGCCATCAGAGGGCCCCAGTGGAGCTGGGGACATGATTGTGTGTTGCAAGAGGCCAAGGAGGCCGGTCGCCCAGCATGACGTCCACGCATAAATGAAAGTGTGAGAGCAGGAGGAGACGCGTCCCGGAGGCCAGCGCCGAGTGGCTATGTCTCCCCAGGTAGCTGGGCACAGGAGCCCCCTCGGGAGGCACTGCATCCCTGTGCCGGCTGGACCGCAGCAGGGCCCTGGACGCGGACACGCCTCCCGCGTGTGCTGTTTTCCAGCAATGCTCTCGTCCTTGAACTTGGACTTGAGCAGGGCTGCCCGAATCAGCGGCTGCAGGCCAGTCTCTCCATGAACCGTGGAGACTGTGGACGAGCCACGCGTGCTCGGCGCAAGCATGTCCTGTGCAGAGTGGGCACGAGCCTGTGTGGAGGCGCCTGTCATCCCCCCGAGGGTCCTGCATCGCGCCACCCCCGCGCACACGGGCTGCTCCGAGTGGTCACGGTCACACACGTACAAAATGTGTCCTGCAGGGAAACCGCACCCCGACGGCTCCCAGGAGACCGTGCTCCCCGACGGCACGGTCATGTTCGTGGGAAGGTGAGTGTCTCGGCGACAGGCCAGGCCCAAGCCTCCTCAGGGCTCGGCTGCTGGGGTCAGTAACTTCTTCAGATTAATTCAAATTTCCTAAGCGCCTCCACGGTTGTGCAAAAAGAGCAGAAGATGATGTCCTGAGGTGGGAAGCTTGGTCAGGGGACCTCGGTCTAAGTCCCTGACGGAGGACGTGGACGCAGACGCTGCCCTCGCTTCCTCCCTGACACCAGTGAAGCTAACGGGGCCCGGCGTCCCCGAGCGGGTGTCTGGAGGCGAGTCCCGCAGGCCCCGCGCCGGGAGCAGGAAGGCAGACGGGCGTGTCCCACCGGCGTGAGCAGAGAGCCAGAGCCCAGGCCCCACCCCAGCCGAGCCCACCGTGGCCCCAAAGCCCACGGCCCTAGTGCGTGACTGAGCCACCTCGTGCCTCCGCCGGCCTTTCGTGTCCTGCACCGGGACTTGCCCCGCCGGCCCGCCCGCCACATCCCGGCAGGGGACGCACAAGCACGTCTCGCCCCCAGGAACGGCGACAGGACCATTGTGTTCACCAACGGGCAGAAGGAGGTCCACACCGCCCGCTTCACCAGGAGGGAACACCCGGACGGCTCTGCCAGGACCGTGCACAGCGACGGCCGCCAGGAGACCCAGCACGCGACGGGGAGGGTCACGGTCAGAGACCGGGCAGGCCGCATCCTCCTGGACCGGCCGCCCAGCGCCCCGCCCCACGCGCTCCTGGGCACAGCGCTGCTGAAAAGGAGACAGAGTATGTCGTGCTGACGTGCCGGGGGTGCAGAGCCGCACACAGGCCTCGGGCCACTCGTGTTGCCCAGAAGTTGTAAATAAATGGTGGTGATTACCAGCCGGGCTCCTGGTCAGAGCGGCGAGGACATCGCCTCAGGGGGCACTGCCTCTGCTGCTGCTCTTCCTGGCGTGGCTCTGCCCAGAGGGCCCGGCAAGCACCCGTCCACACGTGCTGCCCTCTGGCACTGCTGCCCGCCTGGTGTCCCTGGTTCCTCGTGCACTCTGGGGGCTCAGCCTGACCAAGCCCCCGACTGGCACCATCCCAGGCCTTGCTGGGTGGGCCATAGCAGGGAGCCCAGGGAGCCAGCCCAGGGTCAGGAGGACACACCTGGGCAGCCTGCTGGCTGGTCCTTGCAGAGGGCACACTGCCTGTGTGCCGGGACGGTCAGCAGGGCCTCCTCGTGCTGGCCCACGTGGGTCTGCAGGGCTCAGACTTGGCACCGCCCCGCCAAGGGCATCAGCCTTTCTGCGGGTCTGGCCGCGGGGCGTGGGGAGGCCGCCGCCTGTGGGTGGACACCAGGCCCGGGAAGGGGAGGACACTCATCGGGTTGCACATCTGCCCGTGGACTCCACTGCCCTGGGGCAGGGATGGACGTGTGCGCTCCGGGGGCCGTCCAGGATCTGAGCCCGCAGCTGGCACCCCAGCGAACCCTGACTGTCGCGAGGCCTTTGCTTCAGGCAACAAACCCAGCAGGAGCCTCACCCCAGGCAAGGTCCGGCAGTGGTGCCGGCCAGCCCAGGGGCCAGGCGGCCTGGGAGGGTCCCCACGGGCTCCCTGCCCGTAGGACGTGGCCTCTGCCCCCGCAAAGTCACCCGTGAGGTGACTCCAGGACAAGTGTCTCTGCAGGGGGTCCCCAGGGTCACCCGCGGGGACCGCCCAGACTACCGGCCGGCGGGGCTCTGCAGGACAGACGTCAGGACTCGTGCCCGTCCCTCCAGGAGGCCGCAGCCACGCCCGGCCAGGGGCCCAGCCTCGCTTTCACTTCTCTTTTCCTTCTGGAAGGTTCTGGTCACGACTTCCTGTTTCTTCTCGGGCTTAGCCAAGCCCAGATCTCAGGAAACGTCTGGTCTTGGGCGGGGAGAACCGTCACCTTCAGAGGACGTGCTGGTTCCTGGAGATGCCCCGGAGGGAGAGCCCCCTCCGGTGGGCCTGGGGGGGGCCGCGGGGCGGGGCCGTCTGGACGTGGTTGGGGGGCAGGAGCGGGGGCCGAGCCGGGGTCCTGTGCCGGCCCAGGTGGGCGCGAGGACAGCGGCTCCCAGAAGTGCCTCCGGCCAAGGGTGAGGACACCTGGTCTCTGGGGCAGGCTCGGCTCTGCCCACAACCGGCCCTGGCTCCGCGGCCCCCGCCCCTGCAGCCGGGTGTGGAGCTGCTGCAGAGGGAGGCCCTGGGCCCGCGCTTCTCTCCCCTCCCACGCCCGCCCCCGCCCTGGACAGGGCTTCAGGGGGCCTGGCCTGCCCGCGCAGGAGGGAAGGACAAAGAGGGAGGGGCCGCTGGGCTCGACCCCGACCCCACTCCCACTGGACACACTGCGTCCCGGGCTGGGAGGGCGCCCACGGCACCGGGCGCCCTGACCCTGCAGCTGCGGCCTCAGGGCCGGGCAGGCGCAGGTGCCTCCCGGGAGAAGCCCGCCCAGCTGGAGCTGACCGCGGAGACGCTGGGGCCGGGGTCTCTCCTGGCCGGCAGAGCAGGGGCGGGGCCGGGAGGCGGCGGTCGGGGCCTCGTCCTGAGAAGACCTGGCTATTGGCGGGCGCGGGCGGCACGTGGCTCGGCCCCGGGGAGAGGGGGCTCCGCAGGCTTCCAGCCCGCAGGCTGCGCCTGGCGGGGGGCCGTGGGGGCCGTGGGGGGCCGTGGGGGCCACGGGGGTGGGCAGCTGAGCACCAAGGGTGTGGCTGGCGGGTCGCTGCGCCACTGCGTTTATTGGGGAATTCACAGTCTCTGTGCCCGGCTGGCGGCCACTTGCGGACTCAGGAGGCCGTCAGCGGACCGGCCTGCATGCCGCACCGCCAGACGGGATGGCGTCGGGCCGCCTTGTCCAAGCGTCCTCCCCGCTCTTAGGACAGCGGCGAGAGGCGGGGCTGCGGCTCCGGCTGGCCCGGCCAGACCCTGGATGCTGCTCTCCGGGTCCGAGGCCTCAGAGCCCTCGCGCACACAGGCCTCCGCCGCGAGACGCAGGGCTGAGGTCAGGACAGAGGCTACGTGCACAGCGAGTACCTGTGCGGTGTCCCCGTGGCCGGCTGCCCCGCGGGGACGCTGCAAGGTCCAGCCCCGAGCCGTGGTCTCCAGAAGCCGGCACTGACCGGGCCGGCCCGTGGGACCAGCACCCTCACATCTGCGTCTGCGTGGCCCCCTCCCCGGCGGCACGGGTCTGTGTGCCCTCGGGCATTCCGCTGGGCCTCCGGGCCTCCAGATACTCCACCGTGCCGTAGGCCACCATGGTCATGCACAGGACCGCCAGGAGGATGTACAGCTTGACGTCCACACACAGGAAGGTGCTGTAGCCGAAGGCGACCACGAAGCCCAGCGCCTCGCCCAGGCGGTAGGTGGCGAAGGCGGCCTCCTTGTTCCTCTCGAACAGCACGCCGTAGAGCGCTGGGGGAGGGAGGTGCAGAGTCTCAGGGCTGCCCAGTCCTCTCCCCCTCACAGGGCCCCCCACAGAGAGCTGGGGAGGTCAGCACGGCAGGGTCCTCCCCCTCCAGGCGTCCCCCACCGCCTGCCCAGGCTCCTCTGCAGAATCAGGCCCTTTTCCTTCCGGAACAACCATGTCCGTGGCAGGTCATGGCGCATCCCCTGGCAGCAAAGAGTTGCCCCACAGTCAGGAGGCCTCAGCCCAGGGGGTACGGGGCCTGAGAGCAGGGGAGGGAAGCAGAGGCATGGGCCTCCCGGGTCCCACACCCCAAGACAAGGCAGCAGCGATGGGGCCTCCCCCAGGAGGGTGTTTGGGCACCCCGCTGGGCGGGCAGTGGCTGTGGCTGGCTGCGTGGGGGGACAGCTGCCCTGCGCTGCCACCCGCTGTGTCTGGTCACGGGCACCCTGCAGGCCAGGCCAGCCTGGTGGAGACCGCGCGGTGGTGGAGGGTGACTCTCGGTCACTCCTGGATGAGAGTGGACCTTCCAGAGATGTCTGGAAGTTCCCACAGGACGTCCAGCAGAGGGTACTTCATAGGACAGCACGGGGCTGCCAGCCTCTGTCCCGCGGCACCATCCTGACTCCTCTGTGCCAGGAGCTCCAAGTCCCCAGTCCTGCCCCTGGACGCTGCACCAGGTGCCCCGCCCCAGGCCCACCCCTGGCCACTGTGGCCTGGAGCCTGCTGGCCACCCCCCAGACCCTCCCCTGCACCTCACCCTGGCCCTCCGCCCCTTCCCCTGCATCCCCCGAGCGGCTGGAGCCAGGACACCCCCCACACCTACCCTCACATCCCACCCTCAGCCCCTCCCCGGCATGTAGGAGGCGCCGGCCTCGAGGCCCTCACAGCTCAGGTGCCAGAAGCACAGGCCCCGCGTGGCCCCCGGAGCTCACGCCTGTCCCTCAGACGCTGCCTCCCCACCCGGCCCGGTGCAGGGTCCTGGCTCATGTATCGAGAGGACCCGCTTGCTCGGCGCTGGCCTCACCATACTCCCAGTGATCCCCGCTCGGTTGCCAGAATCTCCTCAGGGAAAGCCTCCTGCGCTGGGAAATGCAGGCGCCTGGCCCCTGGGGGAGACGACCCCAGCCCCGGCCTGCGTCGGCCGCCAGGCCCTGCTCCTGCACGCCACCTCACTGCCCAGCCCCATCCGCTCGGCCCCCGGCCCTGCCCCTGCGCCTCTGCCCGCGAGTGCCCCTGGCCATGCCCCGCACCTCGTCCTGGGGACGCCCCTGAACCATCGAGAGTCGGCGAAGATGCCCTCGGAGGACCGGTTGTGGGTGGGAGGGGTGGCTGTCGGGTGGGAGCTGGGCGCCCTGGACCGACCTCAACACGCCGTCGTGACAGCACCAGGCACAGCCCCTCAGCCGTGGCCCCAGCCGTGGCCCCTGTCTGTCCCGTGATGGACGGGCCCTCTCTGAGCACCAGCCTTGCGCGGTCTGCCCCTCACACCTCCTTCCTGCACCCCGGGGTGCTTCACCCCTCCGGGGCTCCTTCCACCCCAGACGCTGCCTTGACCACCCCCTCACCTGCAGCCCCCCACAGGCCCCCCACAGCCCCTGCTCCCGCAGCCCCCCAGCACCCCCAGCCTCCCAGCAGCACCCCCGCCTCCCCCTACAGGCCCCTCAGCAGTGTCCCCCACAGGCTCTCCCATAGCCCCCTGCACCCGCCGGTGCCGCGCCCCCTGCAGCCTCGTCGCCCGTGTCACTGTAGACGCCCTCATGCCCGATGGCCTCGCCGGACTGTCGGGTAAACCACAGCCCTTCCCCAGCAGGCCCGGCCTGCGCAGCCCCCACCCGCCACCTTCCTCAAGCCTAGTGCTCCCCGTGTCCCCCCGACACACAGAATCAGCCCCCCAGAGATGGAGTCAGAGGTGGGTCTCGAGGGGGTGGGCGCCCTTATCTGAGGGGCCCAGGAGCAGCTGCCCACCCATGGGCACGTGAGTGGACAGCCCAGGATGGTCCGGCTGCGCGGCTGGGCTCCCGCCTCCAGAAGCGGCATGAGAGCGGGCTGGACCTCCCAGGCGGGGGCTGTCACAGCAGCCCTGGCCCCAAGGCTCAGGCCCGGCCTCCCGGGCCCCGACCTGTCCAGGACAGCCCCTGGGCTGTCCCCCCACCCCCGCCCCTTTAGGACAACCCCTGGGCCACACCCCCGTCCTCGTCTGTCCAGGACAGCCCCTTGGCCACCCCCCGCCCCCTGCCCACCCTGGCCCGTTCTCTGAAGCCCGAGCCCCAGCTCAGAGGCCGTACTGGAGCCCGCAGGGTGCCCCGGCCCAGGTGCTGGAGCCCAGTTCGTCCTCGGAGGGACGTCCGCAGGGCGGAGGCATGGAGGGGCCCCAGGGCCCTGCCCGGGATCCTCCTGAGGGTGCTCCCCAGGCTCTGGGAGCTGAACCAGAGCTCAGAGAAGCTGCAGGGTCCTGGAGCCAGGCCTGCCCCGCCCTGCCAGCACACCCTCCCTGAGCGGGAGCCGCAGCTCCAGACCCCGGGCCCGCTCTCACCGCTGTTCTGAGTCTGCCAGACGGCATCGGCCAGGCCCCAGAGGCCAGCGAAGACGAAGAACACAGCCAGCTGGTCAGGGTGGGGCTTCCAGAGCAGCAGGGCCACGATGCAGGCCACGTTGGTGGCCGCGCCTGCGGGCAGTGGGCCGGCGTGAGCCCCGGCTCCCATCCGCGGTGTGAGGGGCAGCCTGGCCTGGCCCAGCCCCCCGGGGCAGTTCCCCAAGTCTGATGGGGGTGTCCCCCAGGGCCGGCCCACAGCTCCCAGCCACCTGGCCCGCGCGGCCTCCTACCCAGCACGTAGAGCGCGACGCGGCCCGTGTACCGGGAGAGCCGGCCGAACAGCGCGGAGCACAGCGAGTCGGTGGCCGCGAAGCAGATCATCACGTACCCCACGAACTGGATGCCCAGGGCGCAGGTGACGTAGGACTGCGGGCAGGAGCTCGGGTTGGCCAGTGCAGGGGGCCAGGCGGGGGCAGGAGGGGTCCTGGACTGGCCTCAGGGGGCCAGTCAGGGGCGGGAGGGGTCCGGGGCTTGGCCGCGGGGGGCAGGCGGCTGGCTCTGGTCCGGGTATGGGTGGAAACGCTGCCCTGGACCTTGGCGCGGCACCGCTGGCCTGAGCGCTCCGTCTGGGGGCCAGCTCCGCGTGGGAGCCCCTGGAGGGCCTCTCTGGGCTCAGGAGTGAGGAGGACGGGCGGGCAGCGGGCGGGCAGCGCTAGCTGTTCTCGGCGGGGCTGCTGACTCCCTCTGACCCCACCCTGTGACCCCACAGCCACACTGGCCACCCCCGGCACACGCTGGCCACCCCCGGGCCAACACCAGACCCCGCAGACCCGGCCTGCCCGTCGGGGTCACCAGCTCCTCGCTGGGCGGGGACACGGGTCACGGCGCGGCACGCGTGGGGCAGGGGTGGGGACACACGCGCTTTCCTCTCCGTTCTGCTGGGAAACCCAGTTGTTCTGAAACAACATCTCGAGGAGAGAGGAGCCGGGCCCTGAGGGAGGGAGCTGCAGGGGGGCGAGGGCAGGCCGTGGCCCTGCGGCCATGCCCCAGGGCGTGTGAGGACAGGGGTGAGGGCAGCCCCCCCAGGGCCCCAGTGGGGTGCCAGGGAAGCTGTCGGCCTCTCGCAGGAGGCCGGTGGGCTGACCCAGGCTGACTGCCATCCGCCTCTACCCGCTGGAGGGGGCAGAGCAGGGAGGTGTCCTGGGTGGGGGGCCGGCTGGGTGACTGGTCCCCCTCCCGCTCTCGACACCCTGCACCCCAGCTCCCAGGACGCTCCTGAGAAGAGGGTGCTCCGCGTGCTAACAGCGCCCTTGCGGCGGCTCATCCCAGCCTCTCCAGAAGGCCCTTCACACGGGCCAGCACCCGGCACCCCTGGTGGATGGTGGCCACCCAGCGCCACGGGCGCTCTGTCTGTCCAGTGCCCCGCCCGCTCTCGCTGCCCCCAGGGAGCGTCCTGGTCAGCACAGTGGCCGCTGGGCGGTGTGGGGTGGGGAGTCCCAAGTAGCTGAGGCGATTGGTGGGAGCCACGGCCACACCCTGACCACAGGGCAGTGGCCGCCTGGACCACGGGGAAGGCCCATGGCCGGGTGCTCCCTAAGCCGTCCTCCAAAATAAGCAGGTCGGGCAAGACGCCTCAGGAGAGCAGATGCGCAAGGCCAGGGTCGGCCGCAGGGCCCCGGGCCCGCGCTGCTGCTACGTGGGGGCCCTCCCCTCGCCAGCCCCTGACCCCCAGCCCCTCCCCCCACCAGGCCCCCAGACCCCCAGCCCTGTCCCATCGCCTTGCCCAGCCCGGCTGGCCGGTGCCCGCGGTGCTGCCCACCTTGGTGTAGTCCCCGGCCAGGAAGGCCTGCTGGAAGCCGCTGTACACGGGCAGCAGGGTGAGGAGGCACAGGCGTCTGTCCCTGAACAGCCTGAAGGTCGACAGCAGCGAGGAGCACACGGAGGCCGTCCCCCCGCTCTTCTGCAGACCGCCCCCCGAGATGGGCTCCAGGAGCACGGCCACCAGCAGCACCCCCAGGACTCCGCTTCCTGGGGAGAGAGGACGGCTGGGGCGGGGCCTGGGGCCGGCCCCCGCCTCCCCCTCCCTGCCCCGAGGGGTCACTCCGCATCCAGGCCCGAGGGCAGCTGCACACGTGGGCCAGCCCCAAGGCCGAGAGCTGCCCGCCACATGGCCGTGACCACTGCCACCCTCAGCGCTGTCCTGGCGCCCAGCCAGACCCCCGGGACCCCGCCCTGCCCCGACCCTCGGCGCGCCCACCCGGTCACACGCGTCTCGGGGGCGCGGGGCTGAGGCCACCCGCCAAGCTCCGCCTCGGCCTCTAAATGCCCGACTGACCGCGGAGCCGCGCCGGCTGTGAGGGAGCAGCGCTGCGTCTGCTGGCCAGGAAAGGGGAGCCACCGCGAGGGCAGTGCGGTCGGGGGGCCCGGGGAGCCCCGAGACAGGTGCTGAGGGGGAGGCACGTGGTCCCCACCACGCTAGTCCCCAGCGGGGATCTGGATCGCAACAGCCTGGGCGGCGTGCAAGCCCCCCGCCCCCAATGCAGAGACCCCCAGCTCCCCAGTGCAGAGCCCCCCGGTGCCCCAGTGCAGAGACCCCCAGGCCCTAGAGCAGAGACCCCCCGCCCCCTCAGCGCAGAGCCCCAACCCCCAGCACAGAGACCCCCCAGACCCCCCAGTGCAGAAACCACCGGCCCCGCCCCTGTGACCTGGGGCTCCCCTGGCGCCTGTGGCTTTGCGGCCCACCTCCTGCCCACCGTCAACCGGCCCCCGTGCCCGTGCCCCAGGCCCAGGCCGCCCCCACTGCTCCCCCAAGCCCTCTCCGGAGTTTCAACCAGCCCCAGAAAGGAGCCCCAGGCCCAGCCCGCTGCTGCCTGAGCCCCAGCAGCCCCACGCCCAGGACGCCGCTCGGCCCTCAACAGGGGACACGCCCCGGCCCCGCAGCTCCGCACCTGTGTAGATGCCCAGCAGGGTGTAGACCAGCTCCCGGGAGGGGCGCTGGGTGCCGTTGACGGGCGCCTCGGCCATCAGGCAGTCGCTGGCCCCACAGGACTGCAGGAGCTCCTCCGGGATGGGCTCTGAGGGCGCGGGGGGACGCCGGCTGAGGGCGCGGGGGTGAGGGCACGGGGGAGGGGTGAGGACATGGGGGGCGCAAGGGGGAAGACGCGTGAGGGAGCCCTGGGGGGGTAGACGTGCCGGGAGCGGCGCCTGGGCGGGCCGCACCAAGGTCAGGGGCTCAAGCAAGGTCAGAGGGTCAAAACGGGCACCGGTTCATTTGACCCAGTATCTCAAAAGCCCTTCGTCCCGGACAGTCTGCGGCCCTGGCCAGGACCCACCACGCGCCGGGGGCACTCGCTGACCGCTCTCCTGACACGAGGGGCAGGGCCCGCCCTGCAGGCTCCTCGGGGAGAGCGCGTGGCTGGGGTCGTCCCTCCAGGCCGCAGGCGCCCGCTCCAGCCCCGGGCGGGGACGCCACGGCCTCCTGTGCGGGCCCCTTGTCGGCTGGCGACGAGGCCTGCGCTCCAGGCGCTCGCGGACTGGGAGGGGACGCCTGGCCAGCAAGTGTCGCCTCAACTCAACCCAGACCTGCCGGGAGCCCTGCTGGGGTGGCCCAGGGTGTGCGGGTGCCTGCAGGTGGGGTGACCTGGCAGGAGGGGTGCCCTGGCGGGAGGGGTGCCCGCAGAGGCTGCAGCCGGTCTGTGCCCACCGGCCCTGCTGGGCTCTCCCGCCCACATGAGCGACAAGCAGGGACGCCTGCCCGCCGGCCAGGCCTCCGTGCACAGGCGCCTTCCGCGGGGCGGGTCCCGGGCCGGGCCCAGGGCCCAGGGGCGACTGTGCGACAGGAGGAAGGCGCCGCCGCGGCGGAGGGACGTTGGGCCCCGCAGCCCTGGCCAGGCCCGCAGCAGGGCAGGCGCGGCCGAGGGCACGGGGCCCGATGGCGGGCTTGGGGGAGGGAGAGGGCTGAGCCCGTTCTCAGTCTTGGGGCTGGCGACGCTGGCCGCCAGCGGGCCGCCGTAACCTCCCTTTCCTGGCCGCTCTTGCGTGGCCACGTGCTGGCCCTGGGAGGGCAGGGCCGGAGGCGGCCCCTCGGACGCGGGCTGTCCGGGCACCCGGGGACCCCGGCCTCACCTTTCGTGGGCGTCTGGCCAAGCACCAGGGACGAGATGAGGTTGCCCCAGACCCCGGACGACTGGATGATGAGGAAGAAGATGCCGAAGTACTGGCTGACCACGTCCTTGCCGACGCCGCCCGTGGCCTCCGCCCGCCTGTTGCCCACGACGGTGAGGTAGGTGCTCTGCGCCGACCACAGCGGGGCGGCCCCCAGCCCCAGCAGGATGGAGGTGGGGACCAGCGTGTACCTGGGGGCGAGCACGGGCTCCTGGAACTGGGCCCACGGCGGCCGCTGCCCCGCGGCGACAAAGCCAGTGACTGGCAGGAGGGCTGTCCTCGGGACGCCCGCGGGTGCCGGGAGCTGGACGTGGCCAGCACCGGGCTGCAGCGCCTGACCACCTTCCATGACAGCCCCTGACTTTGCCCTGAACGGGCCGCGTGGAAACTGCGGCCTCAAGTCAGACCACGGTGGCGCTGCCCTGAGGGGCCCAGGGTCACGGGGCGCCCGCCGCTGGCCCCTAGGGTCCCCCTCCCTGGGCAGCGGGTCTCGGCGGCCCCGGGGCCAGTCCTGCACCCACAGTCTGAGCTGGGAGCTCGGTCCTCCCCTGGCGTGGCCCGGGCCCTGGAGCACTGGCAGGGCGCCGGCTGGCCTGCCTGGGGCCGAGGGGGGCCCCGCAGAGGGGCAGGGCAGCTTGGTGGGAAACGTGGGAGGCGAGAGGTCCTGCCCCAGAGGGTGAGGGGCGCAGGTGGGGCCTGCAGGAGGAGCCGGCTGTGGTGGCCAGGGCAGGGGTCCAGGGGCTGGGGCCAGGGGTGGGGTGCCGGGGCTGGGGCTGGGGGCGGGGGGCCGGGGCGGGGGGTGGGGTGGGGCGGGGCGGGGCGGGGCGCCGTACCAGCTAGGGTAGAAGTTGCCCAGGGAGAAGGCCACGTAGCCGCACATGGAGAGGACGATGGTCCACTTGCAGCCCAGCCTCTGGATGAGCAGGGGCGGCAGGAGCATGGAGGACAGCAGCACCCCGCCGTACAGCGTGCTGAGCGTGGTCACCCCCAGGCCCTTCTCGCTGTGCAGGCTGCTCTGTGGGGGCCCCGGCAGGGTCAGAGGCTGGGCTGCCGGGCTGGTCCCCTGGCGCCCCTGGACCCCGCGTGGCTCGAGGGCAGTCTGCTCCAGCCGAGGGCGGGCGCGGGAGGGCTCGGCCCGGGGGTCTGGCGGGGAGCACCGCGCTGGGCGTCAGCGGGGCCGGTGCGGAGAGACCGGGGCGAGCGCAGGGCCGAGGCCGCTGCACAGCCGTCCTCCACGCCGCCCCCGGGAGGGGAGGAGATGGGGAGGGGGGAGGTCTGGGAGAAGGGGGTGAGGGGGTGCAGGGGAGGGAGGGGTAGGGGGAGGTGGTTGGGGGATGGTGTGGGAAGGGGTGGAGGGGAGGGGAGGGGCAGCGGGGAGGGGAGGGCGCGGGGGACAGGGAAGCCGTGGTGGTGGGAGGGGCGGGCAGGGCTCCACCGCAGTGGCTTCTCCTGCCCCCCATCTGCCCATCTGCCCCCCAAGGCCCAGCGGGCAGGGGAGGGGGCAGAGGAGGGGGCCTCGTGGGGACCCCCTGGGGGGCCGGGGCTGCGCCGCCCCCTCCCGCGGCTGGAGCCCCGATCCCCGATCCCCGGGAGTGAGAGCTGCGGTGCCCAGAAGGACTCGGGTCGGGGCCGTGCCCCTGACGATGCGGGGCGGAGGAGCAGACGCCCCGGAAGCACAGCGCCTGCGGAGGCCGGAGCCGGCCCCATGGATCGCCGGCCGCCCCGTGCCATGACGTCAGCCGGGCTGCCGCAGGACGCCCGCAGGACACCCAGAGGACACCCGCAGGACACCCGCAGGACACGGTCACCAGCGGGCCCCTGGGCGCTGCCGCCAGCAGAGCTGAGCTCCGGCTCGCGGCCTGCGCTACAGCGTCCTCTGGTGGCGGCCGTCACTCCCCGGCCAGCGCGCAGCCCACCTCTAGCCCCCCCGCCCCGCGTCCACTCTCCCAACACAAGGCCCCGCGCCCCTCTGGAGGCGACGTCCTGTCTGCACAGAGACATCCGGCGGCCCCGACCCCTCCTCACCCCAGGCCGCCCACCCCCGCCCGGCCGCTCCGGACGCTCCTCGCTGGTCTCAGCCCCACGCCCTGCCCAGCAGCGCCGGCCAGCGAAGCCCGATGCGCCGGAGGGTGGACGCCCTCTGCCCGGAGGTGAGGCTCCTGGAAACGACTGCTCTGCTCTGCAGGCGCCGGCCTGCGAGCCTCGGTCCGCTGCACATGGTCGCCACGCTCTCAGAAGCCGAGGCCCAGGGGAGGGACTTGGCACGAAGGTCCTCGGATAACGCCCCGGCCGGCCGGTGGCCGGCGGCGTGTTCGTGGAGGGCGCCCGGGAGCTCTGAGGAGACCAGCTGTGCGGGGCCCCCACAGGGCTCTCCCCGCCGCGGCCAGAGCTGCGGGTTTGGGGTGGGGGGTCGGCCACCACAATGGGGTTTGAGCGCGACCTGCTGGGAAGGCCGCAGCTGTGGGCTGCCAGCCTGGAGGCCAGGCCCAGGAGCAAGCGCCTTTGAGCGGGAACAGCCCGGGGCCAAGCCCGGCGGAGCCCACTGCGGGGACGTGAGCAGACACGGCCACACTCCACCCACGGGGCCACCCGGGCCAGCCCAGGACGCGGCTCAGCGAGCGCCTGCCAGGACCGGGCGGTGGGGGGCTGGAGCCCAGGAGGCGAGAGGCCACAGTGGAGGCAGGAGGGCCGTGAGGTGCAGAGGGGGGCCAGGAGGTGGGGAGCCCCACAGGCCCTGGCTGGGAGGCCAGCGCAGTGAGCGCTGGGAAGAGCTGAGGCTGGACGGACCCTTCGTCTGGAGCTGCAGCCCCAGAGGTCAGCACCTACCCAGGGTCCACCCCCAGTCCACCAGGTGCCCAGGGGCACTGCCGGGGGTGGGGGCGTGAGGGCCACAGGGCACGGCCCTTCTAGGGGGCGCTCCCCCAGGCGGGGACGGCGAGGGCAGAGCTGACCCCACCTGAGCTCCAAGCTGCAGGCTGAGGAGACAGCCAGGCCCCTGCTGCTAGGTGTGCCCCTTCTCATGCCCAGGTCCTGCAGCCACGACCTTCCTCAGCCTAAGCAGTGGTCAAAGGCACCATGGCTGCCCCTGTAGACCCGCCCAGGGACTGCCTGCACCCAGGGGCTGCCCAGCGGTGCCCAGAGGACAGGCCCCGCAGCACGGGCTGCTCCCACCAGGGAGCATGGGCACTGCAGGAGCGGGGTGGGGGCAGCACCGAGCAGGCCCTTGTGCCGGGACACACCCACCACCACTCGCAGGCAGCGCCGCCGCAGCCTTCCTGCAGGACACAGGCGTCCACCTGGCGTCCACCCGCCTTGTCCTCGGGAGTGAGGAGAGAATGCAATCCTGAGCGCCCGAGGCGCGGTGAGCTGCCCTGCCCTGCCCCGCCCACCGGCCCACGCCTGCCAGGTGTCTCTGGGTCGCTGCCCTGCAGGGCGGCAACGCCCAAGTCCTGCCCCTGACCCACCCCTCCAGGCCCGCTGACGTCGTCAGAGTGAGAAGGTGCCCCCTGGGGAGGCCCCGCACCACCCGGAGAGGCTGTCACCGTGGAAGCCAGACCTCGCCTGCAGCGGCCAGTGTGCCGGGCCTTCGAGGCACCGGCCTTCTGGTCTCCCTCGCAGAGGCTGAGGGGAGTGCCCTTGTCCCTGCAGCGGCCACCTGCTGGGCATCCACTGCGCTGAAGTCTGGCGTGGACTCCTCAGGGCAGGGGGCCTAACAGATCCACATTCCGCACCGGCCACAAGCCCAGGGCCGCCTTGGGCTCTCCGCGCCGGCCTTGCGGCTCCTCCCAACCAGGCCTCCGGGGACCTGGCGCCTCCGTTTGGGCCGCGCACATGCCTGGGGGCCATCCAGGGGCCAGGACCCCAAGGGCACTTGGGGGAGAGGTAGGCAGCAGGAGACCCCACCCCACACAGTGCGACTGGGCAGCTGCTGAAGTGGGGGTTGGGGGGACCTCACCTGCAGGCTCTGCAGCGCCCCGTAGGCTGTGAAGAGCAGCAGGAAGCCGAAGGACACCACCAGGACGTTCCTCAGGGTCGGGTCCATCGCGCGGCTGAGTGCAGACCACCCGCAGACGGGGCAGCCCGGCGTGCCCTGAAAGAAACCAGCAGGCTGGGGAGAAGCAGTGGAGCCAAGAAGCGGCCACTCAGGCCGGAGCACTGAGCTCGGTCATCTCTGCCCAGGAGGCGCCGCGGGCGCGGTTACTCATTCACCACCACGAGCCCCAGCACAGCTCCTGGCAGGGGCCGGGGGATACGCCCCATCTGTGATTCGCTAGCGGGGATGCTCCGTGCACAGCGGCCGTGCCCACAGCGCGTGCACCGTGGGGTGCGGTGAGCCCCTCGCTGAGGGAGGTGTCTGCGGAGCCCCGCACGGGGCGGCCTTTGGTCTTGAAGCAGCAGCGCTGGCATCTGGCCGCCTCGGAGGCGTGAGCAGGGTGCCAAAGGCCAAAGTCCCGGGCTCCCAGGGCGCGATGGCTTTACAACCGCGGCAATAAAAAGCCGGCGATAGCAGCCAGGCTGCCCCTCCAGGGCACCCCCGCGCCGCCCCCTGCCCCCGCAGCCGCCCGCCAGCTGCCCGGCCCTGCGTCGGGGCTGCAGAGGCTCGTGGGGAGCAGCTCTGGGCCGGGCCGCGCTGTTCGGCATGGCGGCCGCGAGTCGTGGGTGGCCGGGGAGGCGGAGAGACTGCGCTGTGCCGAGGGCTGAGTCCCGTCAAGTGGGCGAGCAACAGCGGCGCCGGCAGGCCGGGCTCGCTCCCAGGCCTCGCGCTGACGGGGAGCCAGGCCGAGTCCGCTCGCTCCCGAGCAGTCTCTGCGGTGTGGTAAACTCGGTGTTCGCAGGCGCGAGCCCGGGCGGCCCGTGTTGTGCCTCGGCTGACGTCGGGGCGTCCCGCGGGCCAGAGGAGGGGCGGGAGGCCCGGCAGAATGTTCTCTGCCTCTGCCCTTGCGGCTGATGAGTCCACAAAAACGCACTTCCGGGGAAAACGCGGTTTCTGTCGCCCCCTCGGGGATCACCGTGTGGTGGAGGCAGGCGTGGCGCAGCCTGGTTTGGGGAGCCCCGGGCCCCGCTTCGTGTGCACACCCTCAGGTCCTGCCAGCCGAGCATCTGGGGGGCTGGGGCCTCTCGGAAAGGGGGCGTGGCCAAGGCCCCAGAAGCTGGTCGTCGCCGAGCCACGGAGCAGCCCTGGGCCAGGGCCACGGCCGTTCACGGGGCCTGGTCAGTGGCGTTTCAGCGCCCGGAGAAAGCGCCAGCCCCCATCTTGCCCTCGGCCGAAGAGTGACCCTGCTGGGCGGCCTGGCGCACACCAGCTGGCCTGTCCACGCAGCCACCACGCTGCGTCCTTCGCGTCAGGCCCTGCACGGCTGCTGGCTGGTGGCTACTCCAGCTCCCGGAGTCATCAGCCGCGCAGAGGCTTCTCCTGGGTCTGCCCGTTGGGGAGCAGCTCCGGAGGCCTCTCCCGCCCGCTCGCGGTGACCCGGGTGACCCGAGGGGCCCGGACTTGGCAAAGAACCCGAGGAGTCGCATGCCCCGTCACGTAGGCTGTCCCCCCGCAGGGTCGATCACTGACCTCTGTTCGGTCCCCATCTGTATTAAGAGGGGGTCTTAAAATGAGCAGACGTTTTCCGGTGGGTTTGGCTGTCCAGCAGGACAGACGGCCACGTCCACCCTCCCAATCAGTGAGACGAGGGCCTCAGACATGGCCACAGCACTTCCCGCACCGCCGGGGGCCGAGGGGGGCCGGGTGTGTGTGCCTGACCGTGGCCGCTGCGTCCTGGCAGTGGGAATGGAGGCCGGCAGGCTCGGGGTGGGGGAGCTGCGGACAGGGAGGTGTCCGGCCCTGGGAAGACACCAAACCCGCTGACCCTGAGCAGCCAGGCCAGCGGGAGGACACCGCCCTGAGAGGGGACGGCGCTGCGGGCTTGACGCGGGGGAGGAGGGTCCAAGGGCCACAGGACAGGCTGCGAGGCTCTGCCCCGAGGCCACTGCTCTGCCGCCAGAGCCCCCCCACCTGCACACGTGCTGTGGCAGGGACTTCCTGCCGTTTAGGGAGCCCGGTCAGAGGCCTGGCCGGTTCAAGAAAGGGGTGTGGACACGAGTAACACCCGTCCCTGGTGTTCAGGGCTGTCATCTTCCTTAATAAAAGCAGCACCAAGTAAACTCAGACGTGCCCTGCCCACCTGCTCTAGCCTGACCTGCGTGGACGTGGAACGCCTGTGCTGGTGGGTGACCCGCAGCCTCCGTGAGGGGCCTCACACTTTGGGGGTCAGTGGACTCAGGGCTTGGTGTCTTGTAAGGAAAGGCGGCCCCCGGCCTTCCAAACAGCCACAGGCCCGGAGGGTGGGCGAGTCTCCCGACCCATGTCAGTGGCTAAGGGACCAAGTCGTCGGGGATTCGGGCCTGTCCTTCCTCGGCTGAGGTCCCTTCCGCTGACCCCAGCACTGACCAGAGCGGCAGGGACCCTCCTCAGAGCAAACCCAGCCCGTAAGGGACCCAGAGAGAGATTCACACCCCCAGACCCTCGGAGTGTCCCCAGAGACCTTGGACACTCGTGAATCCCAACACGGGGGTGCTCCTGGGACCTGCCCCGCCCTCGGGACCCACGCCCGCCCGTGGCCTTGGAGCGGCCGTACTCTGCTGCTCAACCCCCTGGGGCTGCAGGTCCCCAGTCCACGCTTCTGTGGGGCTGACCCCTGTGGCCTGCCAGCCTGAAGGCGGCCGGGGCGGTCCCGGTCAGAGTGTCCTGCACTGTCAGCGCGGGGTGAGTGAGGGGGGCAGTCCTCGCCCCCCTGGCGTCAGGAAGTGGCGCTGGCTTGGCCGCATCTGCTGATGGTGCCCCCACCCACACGTCGTTGCTCCCCGCGAGAGGCTGGCGCGCACGCTCACGCCAGCTCACCCCAGCCGGCGGCAGCGCAGGTAGGAGTGCGGGGTCAACGGAACAGACCGGTCAGCTCACAGCTGGGTGGACACGGCACATTCCAGCGCCAGCTCAGCTGGCCCCTCCGGCCCGGCCGGTCATCGCGCCCAGGAGCCAAGGGCTCGCGCTGTGGAATTCCCAAGAGTGCAGCCCGCGACGCTGCTGAGTGTCCCGGAAGCCGCCCCTGCCCACACCCACGCCGCTGCCCCGCAGGATGCAGCCTCCGCTGCCCAGGGCTACCTGGTCCCTTTGTCTCGGCTGCGCCCGATGGCGGCGCCCGGCTGCTCAGAGGCTGGGCCGCTGACCTGGCTGCCGCGGGCAGGACGGCTGCTCTGGACGGGGGAAGCTGTTGGACAAGAGCAGTTCTGCTTCAGCGAGTGGCCCAGCCTGTTCGCACGGCGCCATCCCCACGCGCCGGGCTGCTGCGCCCACTGTGCGGAGGACCTGCTGGGAGCGCAGGCAGGGGCCCCACTCTGAGGGCCTGGGGGCCAGCGGGGCCAGCAAGCCCCAGCTTGGAGGAGGCGGAGCAGCAGCTAACGCGCTGGCACGGCACCCCCTGCTCAGCTCCCAGGCTCTTACTAGCAGAGCACAGCCCGGGGCGGCGTCCGGGGGTGCAGCCGCAGGTGAGGGGTATGCGGGGGGTGCACACCTGCTGCCACCGCACCCTCGGGGCCGCGTGGCCTGGCGAGAGGAGCGCGCCGGGCAGGGCCGAGCATGCCTGACCTGCAGGCCCGGGCGGAGGGAGGGTGTTGGCCTGTCTGAGGCACTGTGACTTCCACACTTCCAGCAAGAGCAGCTAACGTGAAAGAGAAAGAACTTTAAAGGGAAACGTACTTTTATAATGAAATTTGTATGTAGACGTTTACAAATCAAACTGAAACGCCGACTTGTTTCCAGGCCTCTGATACGGGACGTGCTGGGCCCCCCGGGACTCCCGCCTCGCTGCCCCCCACTGCCCTGGGGCGGCACAGCCGCGGCGGGGCTCTCTGGTCAACTCCAAGCGGTCACCTCCTGCTCTGGCGGGCACGGGCCCGGCCCGCCTCCCCGGCCCTGCCGCCTGCCTGGCGGCGGCTCCATGAACTGCCCACGGAGGATCAGGTGTCCGAGCGTGCCAGCAGCTCTGGCCTGCGGAGGCTCGTGTGTCCACCGCTAGCTTGTCTCCCCAGCTCTCGGAGGCCCCACGCCCCTGTGCTAGAGAGCAAACAAGCTCCCACGACCCGCTGCGGCACCAGGGCCCACCCCGTGCCCCCAGACAGCCCGCGGCCCCTGTGCCCGCCCAGCCCTCCCCCACGGCAGCCTCAAGCCCTGCCCTCCGTGATGAGGTGATGAGTGGAGCCTGTGGGGTGGGGCCAGGCCTGCCCAGCTGGTTCTCCCAGAGTTCTCCGCCCACTGCCCAGGGCCAGGGATGGACAAGCCAGCTCAACCTGCAGCCCCAGTGCCCCCAGAGGGACCCACAACCCGCTCCTCTGGGACCGGCTCCCCCCCAGGGCGCCGGGGAGGAGGGCCGGGGGCCGCTCTTGCTCGGGGAGAGGCCCTGCTGACGTGCGCTTGAAGGACTGTGACTCACAGGCCGAGAGTTCTGTGCTCACGGTGTCGCGGCAGGACTGGCCGCCGGGTGTCTGTGTTCTCGTGTCCGGCTTGCCCAGGCAGGCCCGACTGGTGTGATGCCCAAGCCCCCCAAATCTGCCCTGCAGGACGGGGACCCACGGTCCTAAACTGCCACGGAGGGGCCTCCCATGGCCTCGGAGCCCAACAGCGGCCCGGCCTGGACAGGACCCAGGATGGGGGCCGGCCTTCTGATTGCGCCAGCCGCATCGGGCGGGGGCCTCACACACCCACACCGTGGGTGCCCCGTGGACGGCATGGAGCCCGCCTGGTCCCCCAGGGCCCTGAAAGCACCTGTGGGGCCCGAGCTCTAATGTGTGACATGGAGACCAGCTGGAGAGGAAGCGGGGCCTGCAGGCATCCAGCACCCGCGTCCTTGTCCCTCGGGCCCCGGCGGCCGCGCCCAGCCGCCTCTGGTGACCTGCACACGCCGTCACCGGGCCCTGTGCTCGCGCGTGTCTGAGCCTCATGTGGACAATTCTCAGTTTCTCCTGCTCACTAGCATGTGTGACCAGCGATGTGCAGAACTGCTGGTCGAGGCACGAGCTGAACTGACCACCTTGTGTGCCCCACCCCCGCCCCCAGAACCCCACCCCCTGCCCGCCCCACCCTACAT